GTGAATTAGAGTCTCTTATAGCTACTGACCAACTAAGCGTTGGGAAAATAAAAAGCCACCTCTGGGATTCGAACCCACCGTCTAACAATCCGATAACCGCGAGCTTAACCACTCGGCCATTTCAGAGATAACGCTTTACGCAATTCATTTTAAGGAGATAAACTAAGTCAGTAACCTTACTGCACAGAATGTTACTGTGTAAACACTGAGTGAGTAAAACGATAATGCAGCACGTAGCAAAAATGCACATTCACACAAACGACGGGCGTCAACATTAAAATTCCTGACAGTTTCTCTTTACTTGTTTTAAATGAACGCACACCAATATGGGCAAGTCCCCATACCACGTCAATACACCTGTCTACGTCTGAAATCTGTAATAGTATTATGAGAATGACACACAATTTTTGCCGATCTTTTTCTGGGGGGGGGGCTGGTGCGTTTTCTCTCGTTTCCTTTACTAGCATAAAATGACAGCCGAATCAGCAACCCAATAGTTCTGCTACATAACGTGTTGTGTGGTGGATCTGATGTGTGGTGTGCATCTCTTCAGACACATTGTCTTGTGCAGAGAACCTCTTTACAGCAAATCCCCTCTTCAAAGATGTGGTTGAAGCAGCACTTTTCCTGTCATATTATAATTCATTTTCAACATTGAAGACCTTACGTTGTATTTTTGGTTGTGTGAAATGTTGATGCGAAGACACCAATGCGCTTCTTCGTATATTAATACTTGCATTTTCTCATCAGTCACTTGTTTAAAGTCCACACCATAGATCAGAATGATGATGTGCTACAATCATTGCAACAATTGTTGGGACACGTATCAACAGACATACATGTGTAGTTACCCTCCCCAGGTCCCCCAACCCCCCCACTCAATGTTGCCATGTCGAACCGGAGGGCAGACCGCGCATCGACACCCAACACTGACAGGGGGGGGGCCGGGGACCAAACGAGATTTGGCCAGGATTGTCTGAATTGGTTCACGGTTCTGTATGTGTCTACCGTGCCGTTTGGCGTGCGTTTTCAGGCGCTGTTTGTGGAAAACAAAAATGGCAGCCAACGATTAAGTACAGACAAATGTGC